ATAATGAAACAACTTATCAAAGAAACTATTCTCTGCCATTTTACAAGATTGGTAAGTCAGATTTATAACTTTGAGATCAAGCTTGCCTGGGCCGCAGATCAGCATCTCCTGTGGACTTGCCATCTCCTGGAGCATGTTTGAGACCAATGGGGTTGAGGGCAGGAATACTTTCTGTATGGGTACAGGAAGAATTGAAAGAGCTGCTTGAGGGTCCTACCTTTCCTCCTTTCCTAGTTCTCCACAAATGAGACTTCAGGGATGGAACTGCCCACATGCCCTTTGTTTAGAAGAAGGCTTGAGTCTAACCTCTCTTGTCATGGGACAAAGTCATGATTGTGCCTAATGTTGAGGGACTTTTTTTCCCCTCTTTCCTACTTTAAATGATATTGTGACAATAATTTGATATTTGGAAACATCTTTGGAAAATTCTAAGTTCCCCTGTAGTTCTCTACACTTCAGCATCTGCCAGAGTACCGAAGGGAATTGAGGGACCCTGGTGGCATAGACATAGACACCAGTGTAAACAAGACTTGTGTTGCTGTAGTCATGGTTCCTTTAAATTATAGTTCATTGAATGAATGACTTTATTGATAGACTTACTAAGTAAGTAAACTCCAACATTTGGGGAGACTATCACATTGTGGCAGACACTTACATAGTCTTCACAGCAGCTCTCTGAAGTGTTTTGTTTTTCCCATTTTCAGTAGACGTAGCCAAGGTGCAGAGACAGTGCATAAACTAGCCCCAAATCACTTGGCTAGGAGGTAGGAGAAGTAGAATTCAGACCCAGGACATTCTAGAGCTGTGATGATAAAGCAAAACTGTCTGTCACAGCTAGGCATTGCTTATATTACTATTTAATAGCTGTCTTTAAAGTGAGTCATTTTCTTTTTACATAAAAATATACAAGCAAACTAGAAGTTAAGAATGGTGGGACTATAAGTGAGAATGGGAGTTGGGAGGTGTGAAGAATATTCTTCCTTCATTTTTTCCCCAGAGAAATGAGCTGCAGGGCAGGGAGGGGGTGGTGCCTAGGCTGGGATCAGGGTCCTAGGGAACAACAGATACAGTCATCCAGGCGAATGGGACCTGGGAGGGGACAGGAAGATCTTGAGAGAGCGAAGTCAGGGCTGAGACAAAGGTAATTTAGAGGAGGTGTTGGGAGAGAGAGGAGTCTGAGAGAGCCTAGGGGGCATTGTGGTAAAGGAAACTGGGGGGTCAAGAGACCTAAGTTAGGGCTAAAAGACACATAAGCTGAGCCTGGGGTAGTAGAAGTTGTCAGAGGCTGAGGGGTGATTACAAAGAGGTACCCAGGAAGTGTCAGTGGTGCTTCTGTCCTCACAGAATTGGCTGAGCAGTTTGTCCTCTCAAGACTGACTGGAAACAAAATCTGTGTCATTTGCATGAGGAAATCCAGGTAGATCACTTCCAAAGAGACAGTAAATAGGACCTTCTTTACAATTCCTCTGCTATGAGCAAATCTTGTAGTTACACAAGGTGTTTTCCTTTCCTTATTTTAGAAGATAGTTCCTAATTCTTTCTATATATATGGAGCCAGATGAATGTTTAGCAAAGCAATGAGATACTTACCATCTATTCTGTACCCAGCATTGTAATAGGTATGTAGAAAGGCCAAGCTATGCTCAACTATAGGGAGTCAACAACCTAATTAGGAAGAACACAGCCATGACACATGGACCTCTTAGAGAAGGATTAAATACTAAGTGGAGGAGGAGAAGTGGAAAGATGAAGTCATGGGGCCCTTGAACATCCAGGAAAGTATCACACACAAATGAGGGCCTGAACTTGGCCTTGATGGGTTAGATTTGCCAGTGGAGAAAAAAGGAGGTGACACCACAGATGGGGAAACTGGAACTAGGGACCATGGATGGGAATAAGGATGGGGAGGTTTACGGGAGCATAGGGAGGACTCTGGTAATGAGGATGCTGGCCAGACTGGGGCAAGGCAGAAGGGACACGTGGAATAAATGCAGACTGGCAGAGTAGGAGGAGAGCATGTTTGGAACTGAAGAGCAGCTGAAGTTTACAACGTCAACTTTGGACAACCAGAGCCACTGAAGGTTATAGTTAACGGAGTGAGCCAGTTGGCTTTAGAGGATGTTAGGCTTTTAGCTGTGCTCAGACTGAAGTGGAGAAGGCATGGGCTGCCAGTGAGAAGAGTAGTTAAGATGCAGATGGGGCAGTGTGAAGCTGTGAAAGGATTCAGGCTTTGGCGCAGCAGGCCTGGCTTATTCTGTCTACATGGAGTTGCCAAGACCCTAGGCTCCTCTGAACCTTTTGTGCCTCTATACAATGGAGAATCAAATCTACCATTTAGGATAGTTGTTAAGATTTAAAATACCTGTAATGTTCTTAGAACTGTGCTAAGTGATATTCACATGAGTGCACACATTCATAGTTGCACTAACTCTAATTGTCCCCGTGAAGAAGGTATTATTATTATTGTTAACTTCATTTTAGCAGAAGAGGAAACTGAAAGTTACAAGCAAGTAGATGCTAAATCATCAGTTCTGGTCAGACCCAGATATGTCACACTCCCATGCCTATGCTCTCAGATTGAACTTTGGAGGATCAGGAGAAATAGGAAGAAGATTCATATGGCATAGCATTTGGAGTGAAAAAGGACAGTACTGAGAGAAGAGACAGCCAGGTGGTATGGTGGTTGAGGCAGCTGGATTCCACATGACCTACTGAGTGATTCGAGTCCCGGACCCGGTGGCTTGAGAAGCACACCAGGTGCATGTGTGTGCATGCCCAAAAGTCCCAAGAGAAGAATGGAGGAGAGGTGATTATAGTGCGGCCATCCCCCATGGGGGGGTACTCTCTCCTGTTCTCTCTCCCTCGCTCGCTCTCTGTCTCTGTCTTTCTCTGCCAAGTGCATGTAACCTGTTCAAACTAAAACAAAGGGTAACTCCACAGTCTCTCACTTCTGCCAGGTTTCTGGTACCTTTTTTTTGGTAACTTTAATAGAAACAATGGTTTTAGGGAGAAGACTTGCAGTCAAGATGGGATGTATGCTGAAAATATGGTGTTGGAAAGTGAGCTAGGCAATATAAGATGAGGAACAGTTGTGGACAGTCTCCTACTTAGTGAGCTTTGAAGCCTCAGTGTAGGAATAATTTATATTGAAATATTAACTGTTCTATTTTTTGAATCATTGACTGAATGTATATTATTTATTTCTGAATAACAAATCATTCTAAAACATAGTGGCTAAAAATATTACTGACAATGTTTTTTCTCTCTCATGAGTTCTGTGGGCTGAGTATTTTAGAACTGCTGAGCTGGGCAGGGTCTCTCGAGGTTCTGGTTGGATGGCAGCTAGTGCTGTAGTCTCTTTTTTATTTTAACATTTTTTTCATAGTTTTTTTTTTGTTTTCTTTCTTTTCTTTTTTTTTAGATTTGTGTGCTCTCCAGAGAGAGACAGTGAGAGGGAGAAAGAGAAATCACCCCAACAGTGGTGGACGGCCATGCCACAATCCCTTCTTCATTCTCTTTCTGGGATTTTGGGCAGGACTCGAACCACGGTCAGCCATGTAGAAGTCCAACACCTTTAATCACCATGCCACCTGCTGGTTCTGCTGCAATATCGTCTAATGCTTGACTAAGACTGAAGGACCCAGCTCCAAAGTGACTCACTCACATGGCTATCATGATGGTGCTGGCTGTTGGCTGGGGACCACAGTGCCTTTCAATATGGGCCTCTCCTGGGGGCTGCTTATGTTTCCTGAGAGCACAGTAGTTAGCTCCCTTAGAATGAGCAATCCAAGACCAAGTAGAACTAAGATATCTTTTAGGTTCAAACGTCATACAGTTTTCCGATGTACACTGTTAGCCACAGCCAGGCAACCCTAATCAGTGTGAAAGAATTATACAAGGCATATAAACCAGGTGGTGAGAACCACTGGGACCCACCTTGGAAACTGGAGCCACCAATAGGACTTAGTCATTTACTGAGCACCCACATGAACTAGACAGTGTGCTATTTGGTGGGGATACTGTTACCAGGATAGTCAAGATACTTGTTTTCACAAAACTGACATTTTAGTCGAGGATAAAGGGCATGACCAAATATGCTTTTAAAAAGTTATAGATTGTGATAGTGCTATAAGGGAATAAACAAGGTGATGAGTCTAGTAAAAAAAAAAAAAAGTTACTTTAAATAGAATAGTCAAGAAAAACATCGATACAAATTTAGCTGAGCCCGGAAAAAATAAGAACAAGTCATATAAAGAACATTTCAGGCAAAAAAAGAACTATAAGTATAACTACTTGAAAGCTGAAAAGGGCTTGGTATATCTGAGGAACAGAAAAGAGGTCCATATAATTTGGGGGGGACGTGAGTGAAAATGAGAATGGTAAGCTGCCTGGATTCTGGAATGGTAAGCTCCCTATTCCAAGAGCAATGGGGACACATGAAAGGATTTTGAGAAGAGGAGTAACATCTTGTATTTTTAAAAAGATCACTCTGGACGCAGACACAGTGGCATGATGCTAACAGGCTATGCTCTATACACTGGGACCACATGGGAGGCCCAGGTTCAATTCTTGGTCTCCAGGGTGGCGGTGTAGGCCTTTAATCCAGTAGGTAAATGGGGCAGGAGGATCACAAGCTTAAGGCTATTCTAAGCAACATAGCGTGACCGTCTTTAAAAAAAAAAAAAAAAAAGGAAAAGAAAAAGACAAAAAAAAGCTAGGCATGATAGCACTCACCTAGAGACCCAGCTGGACGACTGAGGCAGGAGGATGGTGATAGTGAGACCCTGTCTTAAAAACAAAACAAAACAAAATCACTCTGGCTGTTGTTAAGACACTATTTAGAGAGGGAAAAGAGGGAGGGCATGCAGACCACCAAGGAAGTTACTAAGCAGCTGTATTGAAGGTGATGGTGGCTTGGACCAGCAGGGATGATGAGGAGGAATAAATAGATTCTAAAGCTATTTTGGAGGTGATATCAATTAGACTTGGTGAAAGTTTTAATGTTGGACGTACTTTGTTCATTCATACTCATTCCTGTAGTAAGTAATATGACAGCCTATTTACATATCGGTTAATCTGCTAGGTTTTGGCAAACCGTGTGAAGCAGAAATAGCACAAGGTTCCTACACTTGAAGGAGTTTCATAGAAATAACCATAAAATTCCACCGGCTGCCAGTGCTGTGAAGAATTTACATGGTGCTACAGTAGCATATAATAGATCAGAGAAGGTTTCCCTGACACTGATGAGCTGAGAACTAAAGCATGAGCTAAAAGTTAATGAGGTAAGGAGTGGAGGAACCACTTTACAGGAAGTGCAACACATGGAAAGGCCCTGTGACAGGAAGGAACATGATGTTTGAGGAACTAAAGTGTGCAAGTGCCCAAGATCTGATGGGCTGGAGGGCTAAAAGAAGGAGTCTGTGACATGACCAGACCTGTGGAGGGTGCTAATCACTCTCTTTCACTCTCTCTCTGTCTCATGCCCAAGCACTCTATTATGAATAAAGAAAAATGTATACACACTTTTGATAACATTCTGATTAGGCTTAGGCTTTCTGATCCTAAATTTCCTCATCCTCAAAAATGATAAAAATAATTTATCTACCAAATAGAACTGAGATATCCATTTAAGAATTTACGTATTTTGCCTGTACATAACATTAATAAGCATCCAAAAAATATTAGGGGCCAGGTAGTGGCCAGTGGTTACGGCGACTGGATCCCACATGGCCAACTGTGCAGTTCAAGTCCTGGACCCAGTGGCTTGAAAAACATGCCTGGCACATGTGTGTGTGTGTCCAAAATCCCAAAAGAAAGGGAGAAATGGAGAGGGGATTTGTGGCATTACTATGCCCCACAGGGAGTGCTTTCTCTTGTTTCCTCTCCCTCTCTCTGGCAAGTACACATGCCCCCTGACAATTTTTTTAAAAGAGTTATCATCATAATTGATAAAGAATAAACATATACCATAATGAACATTTACAAAACTATAATGAAATTGTGTCCTGCAATGAAATTAAGTTTTTAAACTTGTACATAAAATCATATACAAAGTTATCCTTGCAAATCTCTTAAGTTATTAGAGTGATGATATTAAATCATCAAAGTATTTGGAATACGTGGGATTCTCAGCAAGTTGCTTGAAGTTTCTCAGTGGTCCTCGGTTCTTCGTTTTCTTTTATAATGAGGATTTCAAAAGAGTCACCAACAAATTCACATAAACAATAACTGCACTTTGTCAGACTGTAAGGAAATTAAAAAATTGTTTCACATGTTCTTTCCACAGTATCTCCACTCGTATAGCGCTTTTCAGGCTTGACATCAACAGGGCTAAGAAATATTTATTTTTAATTTGCCTGGCTAGATATGTGTATGATTCAGCCCCACTGTAAACCTCACAAGAATCATTAAGAGCTGTTGGGTAGGATTCCCCATACCTCTAAACTACTTTAATATATTTCACTGAAATATAGTTATTTTAAAAAAATAATTATTTATTACTTAAATAATTACTATACTTTATTATTATTTTAGTTTGACCAGAGAGAGAGATAGTAAGTCACTGGGTACAGGACTCGAATTGCAGTCAGCCACGTGGGAGTCTAGCGCTTCAACTGCCATGCCACCTGCCAGTCCTGAATATGACATAATTTTAAGGCGGCCATATTTGCTATCTGACTCCAAAATAAACCTTGAGAAGTCCTATGGGTTACTGACTACAATAGAATCACACTTAATTAACATCCTCCAGACATGGCATTTCTAGTCTCCTTGGGTTAATGAATGACTCACTGTTCTTAACATCAAAGAATGTTTATTTCATAAAATGCTCTTGAAGTGCTAAAGAAGATGGAATAGTACAGTGAAAAGATAGGGTCTTTGGATTCTGATAGTCTTGGGTCAAATGTGGACTCCAACTTTTACAAGTCATGTAAACTTGGGCAAATTAATTAATCTCTGAGGTATGGTGGTAATATTAGTGTATCTTGAAAGTTTACTGTGAATATTAGAATTACTGTAAACAAAACACCTACTAACATAATAAAGTTTTGTTATAATGCTATCATTGGAAACACCCCAGTCTTTGGTTCATTGAACAATGAATGCCGTATTCAATTCAAGCCCTCTTCAAACCCTTAGCTTTATATAAGAATTGTCAGTGTAGACAAGAGGTTACACAATATGAGGGAACTCCAGTGGGTATGAATTCAGAGATGGCAGAGACTGCATTTTGATGAAAAAATGATACAAAGTGGCCCACCAATAATGTAAAACTAGAAGGATTTGGAGATCTAGAATTAGGATGTCAAAAGGCAAATTTGTTATTTTATTCTATTTACATTTTGGCATAACTCAAAAACATGCCTCTTAATTAGAGACTGAACCAAAGTAATTAAGTTCCTTTTTCCATATTTAACTATATTCTTTTGTCTTAAATTCCATAAATTATTTCGCTATGGCACACAATTGCTTAAAGGATAGCATGTTAAAATTAAGGAGTCGTTTTAAATCATTTGTTTTAAATTCCAGATTGGGACCAGAAATTAGCTACAACTTCATCAAATCCCAGACCACTTAATTCACTGCCAGAACTCTACTGTTGGGAAGAGAGAAGCAGCTTTGAAAGAAATGCCTTTAAATAACCATGGCATTCCAACAAAATAACTTTGGCATACCTTGGTGACTCCATTAGACTAAATTAATGCTAGGACTACTTTTAAGTTAAATGTGCATACAAATGGCTATAACCCCAAAATAGTTATATATTGTGCAGGAAATCAAGATCCAGCCTTAAGAGAATTTATCACATGTCCTTAGCCCCACTACCAGCCTTGATGCTGATGCTAGCAAACCATCTTACATTCAACACAATGGTTGTATGTGAGGCCAGGTAAGCATGGAATTGTCTCTGCTCAATAATTGCATCACTGTTGGGGAAAAAGAAAATCTGAGGGACATAGCCAAGAGGAAGACGACCGGCACCACAGGCCCTGAAAAAAATGCAGGCATACCATAGGGCTGTATGAGATGTGGAACAGGCAGAAAAGATGAACTAAGAATCTATCCACAGAAGAGCTAACTCCCCTATATCAACAAGAAAGTTTTTTTCCTTTTTACTTTTTTAATGTTAATTTACATTTTATCACATCTTTACAGTATGCCTTTCTTTTCCAACACAAATACTATGCATGTCAGTCAAGACAAGGATATTACTATATACATTATCAGCAAATAGCTTCTCATTTTTTTGTCAATTAAGCATACTTTTATTGTTTTTTTCCTTCCCCTTTCCCCTCCCTCCCTTCCATACTAATTTTTTTTCATATTTTATTGATTCACAAAAGATCTGTTTTTTTTTTTTTTTTTTTTTTTGAGGGTTTTTTTTTATGGGAACTGCGCTCGGTTAGACATAGAGACATACCCCCAGGGGGTATAGTCACACCGCAATCCCTTCTCCTCCATTCTCCTCTTGGGATCTTGGGCACGCGTGCACACGCTCCCGGCATGAGTTTTAAGCCACCGGGTCCGGGACGCAAACCGTGGTCGACTACGTGGGAGTCCAGCGACATAGCCATTACACTAACTGCTGGTTTCCAATTCACAAAAGATCTTAAAGTATGGACAAAGCTAGAATCTAGTGACAAGTGCACTGTAATTTTCTTCTGAAAAAAGTTTTCTCTCTCTATTCCCCCTTTTACTAAAGAGAGCCCTAAATTAACTTATTTGAAAAAAAAAATCGGTTAATCTCAATTTGGTCTGTTATTTGCACAAAGCCCCGTACAAATTCAATTTCTGATGCAAGGTGAACAGATACTATTATATGTTGAACTTATGCAAATAACCATTCTGCCACAAAATAAGAATGCTCACAGATATTTTCCAATTGCAAAGGAGTCAGAGGAAGGGAGAAAAGTTTGTTTCAATTTAAAAAAATTCTTTAACAAATTACTGAACCCAACAACTCAAAAGAAAACAAAAATCCTCAAATCTGGAAGACAAAACATAGAAGAAAATCAGTAATGTTTTAGAAAAAAAGTCATAGAATTTTGTTTCTCCAGTAGTCTCCTGTAATCTTTTGTTGAATTTGCAGTGTTACTGTGGTCTGACCTTTCCATTAATATTCAACATTATTATTGATATTTCAGAACTTGTCCCTACCAATAAGTTGGCCTTTTTCTTGGTCATTTTTTGTTCTCTTATTTGTCTGTCTTTAGTTTTCCTGATATAGTACTTCCTTCAGAACCTCTCCAAGAGCTGGTCTGGTGTTGGTAAATTCTTTTGTGTTTTATCTGGTAATGTTTTTATCTTTTCTTTCCACATGAAGGATAATCTTGCCGGATACAGTATTTTTGGTTGAAATTGTTTTTCACTTA